GTAAGATCATCAAGTCCAGTCCCCTGCCATGGGCAGGAGGTTATTGGCCTCAGATGAGCTCAACAAGGTGCCTATCCAGCCTCGTCTTGAACACTTCCAAGGAGGGTGATTTGCACCACCTCTGCCAGGAGTGTGTTCCAGATTCTGGTGACCTTTACAGAGAAAAAGTTCTTTCTTATATCCAGCCTGAATTTATCCTCTTTTAGTTTATGCCCATGGGTCCTTGTTCCTCCCTTTAGGCTAGCTGCCCCAGTTGGTTCTCTGGAGAATGCCTGATCGCTCTCCTCTTCTTGGGAGGGGGAGGCCTGTAGTAGACTCTCACCATCCAGTCTCCTTCTCCTGGTCTGCCTTGTATCCTGACCCAGAGGGTCTCAAGGCCCTTCCCTGTTGTTGTCAAACGTGACCTCTTTCGTGTACAGGGCCACACTTCCTCCCTTCTTCCTTCTTGATGGGGTGGGCAGGGGAACAGAAAATGTCATTGATTTTTCTCTTTTTTTTCTTCCCCTTTTCAGAAAGCTTAGTGGAAATCGTGTTGCTCAGACTCAATTGATGCATGATTTATTGATGGCCATTAAAGTTTCTATGATAGTAGTCCAGAAAGTGCAAGAAAATATTCAGGAGAATCTTTGGAAGAAACCTGGGTCTTTTGTTTGTCAAAGTATGTGCAGTTTACTGAAGTGTTTCACAAACTGCTTAATGGATGGTAAGTATCAACAGTATTCAAATTCCATAGACAAATTTTTGCTCAGTAAATACTGTTGTCTTAGTACCAAAATTAAAAGTTGTCTCCATTTTGGACTTCCCTTCTTTTAGTTTAAGCCCCTAGAAGTTGAGCCAGTAACATTGATGGTTAGTAGTACTGGGTCTTTTGAAAAATAGGATTTGTAGTGCACCATTTTGGAGTCTGCATAACACACAGGAGAGATTAAATATATCTGTAAAATAATGTATAGATAACATTGCTATTGCAATAGCTTCATCTTTTTAGCAGATGGCCCTGGTGAATATTGTAAAATGTCTTTGTTTATGGAAGACTTGCAATGAAATATACATGCTTCTGATAGCAGAATCCTATATCAGTGTTTAATAAATGAGTATGTTTGTTTTCTTTAGATATGTTGCTTTGCTGTAAGGTTACAGTGTGAGCATAAATTGCTTTGGCTATACATTTCCACTGAGACTTTGCAAAGTCACTTAATGACTGTTGTTGGTCTGTGAGAAAAGATTCAGGGATATAAGAAAATTAAGTTAATGAATTGTTGTACTGTTGTGCAACTATAAATTGTCTAAAAAATAAAATAGTGTGTTTACAGTTCTGACAAATAGTTTCTGTCAAAAGAGCAAACAGACAATGAAGAATGTGTTTTGTTTTTCCACCTCCCCCCTGTCATTTTAGAAGAAGTATTGCAGACTGTTCAGACTACCTCTGGACTGGCTGTCATTCTCTTTATGAAGATTCTGTTTGAACCAGTTGAAAAGCTACCTTCTTTGGTAAATATATTTTCTTAAAATAAAAAGAGGGATTTTTTTTTTTATTACCGCCAGCTCTGGTACACTTGATAGTTCTTTATTAATTAAACAGGAAAATTGAACCTTCAGCCGTTGGAAAACTTCCTACAATTCTGACTAGACTTCCTGGGCCATGTGCTTACTATTTGCTTCCAACCTCTTCCATCTTCAGCTGCCACCAGATCCTTCTCATCAGCTGCTTCTCTCTATTCATGCCCTGTCTCCCCTCTCCCTTAATTTTTCTTTCCATTTTGATAATTTCCCCCCCTTTCTCCAGCTGCACCTACGTGTAAAAATATCATGGGATTAACAGAATTTTCCAGGCAGTGCATCTTTTCATTCTATGTTTATACTTCTTCTGCACCCTGTCTATCTTCCTTTCTTTCTCCCTTTTTTTTTTTTTAAAGATTGTAAACTGTTTGGGGCAGGGATCAGTCACTAGTCTATTGCTGTAGGCCTCAGCAAAACTGGTCTCTCTTTTTGGTTGGTTCTTATGTACAAGAACAATAAATATGAATTATAACAAAAATTGTCACCTAAGAGAGCAGCATGGAAAGCCTGAACAACTCCCAAATAGACGCAATAAATTCTGGTTGACCTCTACCAGAAAATTTCTTGGGTACTTCCTGCTTTCTACAGTGCTGTTTAAAAGATTTAATGCATCATCTCTCTCCTTCATTCTGCGTAGACTGGAGTGTGTATACTTCACTTATTCATGGTCCTGCCGTTCCTTACCCTGCCCTGCCCTCCTGACAATCCTTCAAAGTACCTAGCATCCTTGGAGATAGAATTAAAACAGGCACTATATCTCATCATGATTTTGGCCAGCCCTTGTGGAGAGATGAAGATTTTTGTGTCCTTTTCGCACTTGACACATTGAAATATTAGATAGCTGCATCATGTTAGGAAGAAAAAGAACCAGTAACAAGTGTGTTGCAACTTTATCCTGCTTTTTGAAGTTTGCAGTGATATAGCTGCTGTTTTGCTGTTGCAGGTCAGTGATTTGCTCCTTCACTCGGTGAAATGTGTGGATGTACCAGAGTGGTTTATGGACAGCTGTGGAATTCTGTGTACTGCAGAGGTTTCAGATTCAACTCTCCTCTTCCTTTGTCATGGAGCCTTGGCCATGCTTGAGTGGAAGAATAACAGCATGGGTCAAAATGGAGAGAAATTGCTCTTGGATATTGTGTTGGTTTTGTTATCTCTGAATTCACGGTAAGTCCATTGTAACAGGAAGTTTTGTTAACTCATTTTCTGACCTCTCTTTCTGCTGCTGACCCTTTATTTTGTACACTAAGAGTACGCTGCAGTCCTTGTCTTTTTCTTAAATTGCAAATCACTGTGGTTCAGACTGGCCATTCTTTCTTTGCTTAATAACTGATTCTGAAAAATAAGGTTGATTTCAGAAAAACAAGATCTATCCAAGTTTCAGTGATGTTATGTTTAAAATACAGAGCATACAAATATGTATATTTGGATGTGCAAAATATGTATAATTACTGCCTTCTGATTACGGTGGGGCTAACTTTTTATAAGGAACTATTGACTGTCTGTGTGGTCACTATTTCAGTCCTTTTGAAATGTAGATTAAAATATATCCCACATCCATCTGCAACCTTCTTACCTTAGAATGCAACTCATTTAATGAGGTTAGATTCAGTGGGGGTTTTTGAAACATGTATACTGAGTTCAATTTTGATTTTTTTTTATATTATAGTGAAAAAAGTTTGGCTTTTAATTTTTTTAAGTAGTTTTTAGATTTTTAAAGCAATTATGTTAAAAAAATGATAAAGTTGCCCAAATGTCAGCCAGTATTAAATCCTTATCAGTTTTGTAAAATGAAGAATTATATAGAATCTTTTAAAATAGTAATGCCTGTTAGATTATTTTCCAGTGTTCAGGGAATTCTAGCTGTGATAAGCTAGAAGATCAGGGGTATGGAGCAGAAACTAGAGTTCTCATCCTGCTTCCAAGTTACACAAACTCGGACTCTCAGGTTTTCTTGTGCTGTCCAGTTAGTGGGAGGTGGAAGAGGTGTATTGTGCGGAATAACTAATGTTTCTGTAGTGTGTTAAAATGTTAAACTATGCAGTGGGTGGATAATGATGATTTTTAAAAATGTGTCTTTCCTTTTTAGGTTAAAAGAATCCAGTATGGCTATGTCCTTGTCAAGAATTTTAGCAATTTGGACTAGTTCAGCATTGGATGTCCTTGATTCAAGCTCCCAGAGTCTAAAATGCGCTCTTACTGGAAACTCAGACACGACTGGGAAACTGCTAGAGTATGTGTACGCACATTGGGAGCATCCTTTAGATGCTGTTAGACACCAGAGTAAACTGATCTTCAGGAATCTCCTCCAGATTCACCAAGCCACTCTTAAAGGATCTGTTGTGAAATCAGACCCATTCTTGTCAATGTTGACAGAGAACTTACTAAACCTCGAATGGCATGTGAAAGGGAAATATGCTTCCCTTAGCTGCCTTGTGGAGTGTGTGGGCATTGAAAATATCTTGACAGTGGACAGAACAATTCCAGTGCAGATTTTGGATGTCATGGGCGATCAGTCTCTTGCACCTTATGCAAGTGATCTTTTGGAAACCATGTTTTCACATCATAAGAATCATCTGACAGCTGTATTTCAGGAAAGCACCTGGATTGACCAGTGGCATGAAACATGGGTCTCCCCTCTTCTTCTAATATTGTGTGAAGGGAATCCTGACCAAACTACTTACGTCATTGATTATTATTTACCAAAGTTGCTGAAATGTAATCCAGGCAGTCTGAACTACATGATTAAAATTCTTCAGGCTTCTAGTGATGCTAATGTTGGTAAGAAAATAATCTTCATATTCTTGCCTTTGTACATTTCAATATAGTTTCTGATTCATTTGTCTTGTATGAATGAGTGGGAAAGGCAGCGTGAGAAATTCTAGGTTCCTGATTTTTCTCGGCATTATCGAGTAGAATTCAGTGATGGCTGACCTGTGTACCTAAAGGCTCCTTTCCTTAGTTTTCTCTTCATATGTTTAAAGTAATTATATCAAAGTAATATTTTAGCTTTTGTTGCATCCATTTTGAAATAATGCTTGGTTAATACTTTCCTTATTTATCAGTGTGTAGGTATAACAAGTGTATGAATGTCAGCTACAGTATGATCTATTTGCCACTATTTCTTAATAGCACTTGTACCATTAGTATACAAGAAATTAATTAACCTAAATAGTTCAGTTTTCTTAAGCTGAGTCATTTGGTTTTTGTTTGTGGGCCATAATTATAAGTTTATGATTCAGTTGTGATGCGGTAGTTGTTAAGCAATGTCTTGTGAATCACCACTGGCTTTTTGAGTCCTTTCTGGTGTTCTTGCAATGAAACATTTTGGGAATTGAGCACTGAGGATTGTAGTTGGATACGTGAGAGAATCTTTCTCTCAGAGGGTAGTTTCCACGTGGGAAGGGTTGAGGACTTTTGTTCCAGCTGCGTTTAAGTTTTTGTGTTGCAACGGGTAAAAACAAAGTCAACTTACTCTTTTTTTTTTATTAGGGTCTTGGAATACCAGAGGAGCTCTTGGAGCCTTGATGGCATGTCTAAGAACAGCTCGGGCTTATGGACACCTACAATTTGCAGATGTCATGAAGGATGGTCTTGTGTCTGTTGGATGTATCAAACAAGGTTTAGTTCATCAACATGTTCAGGTAGGGGGACTGATATCACTGGGTACCTATACATGTGACTGATGTCTAATTAGCATGTGTGGGAGCAGACTCAATTGATTGAGCACACATTGGAGCAGACTTGATTAATTGAGCATGCGATTAGAGTCTGCTGGAGCATGGTAATTAGTATGCCCCACCAGTCTCTGTGTCACATGTATTGTGTCCCCATGTTTCAAAATGGCACCTCTGCCGCCTTTTTGAAGTGCAGGATGCTGAATACGTGATGTTGCGGGCACTTTTATTAGAGCCGCTCTCAGAGCAGCTCTAATTTAAGTGTCCACCCTAGAGCATGTGTATAGATGCCCATTATGCTTAACTCCTCAAACAGTTTTTAATATTCTAATGGAAGCTGATTATGGAAGTTAAATATCATGAAGTTGACAGTTCACTTCCAAATGTTTTTATAGGTTCGCATAGATGCTTTAGGTTTGCTTTGTGAAACCCATCGCAGCACAGAAATCGTGTCCATGGAAGAGATGCAGCTAGTACATTTTTTTATTATGTATAATTTGAACAGTCAGTCTCCTGCAGTGAGGCAGCAGATTTGTTCTCTACTGAAAAAGGTAATCTTCAAACATAAACAAAATGCAGTAAAATCTATGTATTTACTATTTTGGAAAATAAGCTGCTAAGCATGTTAATACTTTTTTTTTTTTTTTTTGCCAGAGCACTAGGATTTTGCTTTACCATAGCACTAGGAAACTGTAGTTGTGGACCCTGTTGTGCTAAGTGCTCTGTAATACAGGAAGAAAAAGATCCTTGTTCTTAAGAGTTTATGATCCTAAGTATAAGAGGAGGCAACAGGTAGATGCAGGTAGACTAACGTGCCTGGCTGCTGTTGAGCTTTTTTTTTTTTTTGTAAACATGGTTGCAAAGCATAATTTGACGGTGGATGTTTATGGGGAAATTCCTCCTAACCCTGAAAGGCAGTTTGGAAAAGAATGCAGGAGTGCTTTGAAAATTTATCAAGTGGATGATCAAGACTTGACATTACTGGCTGAAGACAGGAGTCACACTTTGACAGTGAATAAAAGAGGATAGCTAGGATAGCTAATGGAGATTCCTGACTAGAAGGTCTTGCCCGTCTACTCAGGGTCAGACTGATCACCATATTTGGGGTCAGTAAGGAATTTTACCCCGTGGTCAGATGGACTGTGGGGGTATTTGCCTTCCTCTGTATTGGTGGGCATTGCCCTCTATCCCAGATCTCATGAGCATATATTGCCAATGTTTTATTGAAGCAGGACATTGGCTGTTGTGCTTCTTCAGCTTTACCTGTGGCAAGTTGGGGTGTTAGGTCTGTTTTGTCAGGATTGGTGGTGTAGATTATGGATTGTAGTGTATGGTTTGGATAGGGATGATCCTGCTTCAGGCAGGGGGTTGGACTGATGACTTCTGGAGGTCCCTTCCAGCCCTGCTTCTCTAATTCCATGATAGGGAAAG